AGCGCTGCTCCAGAAACAAGCCATCCACACTGGGAGCTCTCATCAGCCTGCCTGATGGAAACCTCAGCACTGACCCATCAGACTGTGGTTTGTGTTTTATTTGGGCAACGTCTCTGTTGCCTAGCGACCACTGGTTGAACAGGTTTACTGTTCTGTCTTTACCCCATCAGCTGGGAGGATGCAGGATCATGTGCAGACTTCCTGTTAGCTGAAAGAGAAGATTCAAAAGATGAAGGTGTTTAGGACACTCCTGGTTCAGTCTCTCTGTTATAAATTCTTATTTCACTTGTTTTATATTGAAATAACATCAAGTCCATCCATCCATCCATCCATCCATCCATCCATCCAATCATCCATCCATCCATCCATCCATTCATTTTCGTCCGCTTATCCGGAGTCGGGTTGCAGGGGCAGTAGCCTAAGACGAGAGGCACAGGCTTACCTCTCCCCAGCCACTTGGGCCAACTCCTCTGGGGGAATCCCAAGGCATTCTCTGGCCAGGTGAGAGACATTGTCCCTCCACCGTGTCCTGGGTCTACCTTTAGGTCTCCTCCCGGTTGGACGTGCCCGGAAAACCTCACCAGGGATGCGTCCATGAGGCATCCTGACCAGATGCCCGAGCCACCTCAACTGGCTCCTCTCGATGTGGATGTGCAGCGGGTCTACTCCGAGCCCCTCCCGAATGACCGAGCTTCTCACCCTATCTCTAAGGGAAAGCCCAGCCACTCTTCGGAGAAAACTCCTTTCGGCCACTTGTATACGCAATCTCGTTCTTTCGGTCACTACCCAAAGCTCATGACCATAGGTGAGGGTAGGAACGTAGATCGACCGGTAAATCGAGAGCTTCGCCTTCTGACTCAGCTCTCTTTTCACCATGACATACCGGTACAACACCCGCATCACTGCAGATGCAGCACCAATCCGCCTATCGATCTCATGCTCCAGTTTTCCCTCACTCGTGAACAAGACCCCGAGATACTTAAACTCCTCCACTTGGGGCACGACCTCATCCCTGACCCGGAGAAGGCATTCTACCCTTTTCCGACTCAAGACCATGGTCTCAGATTTAGAGGAGCTGATTCTCATCCCAGGTGCCTCACAGTCGGCTGCAAACCGCTCCAGCGAAAGCTGAAGATCACGTTCTGATGAAGCCAACAGGACCACATCATCTGCAAAGAGCAGAGACCTGATCCTCAGGCCACCAAAACGGATGCCCTCCACACCTTGGCTGTGCCTAGAAATCCTGTCCATAAAGGTTATGAACAGAATCGGTGACAAAGGGCAGCCTTGGCGGAGTCCAACTCTCACTGGGAACGAGCCCGACTTACTGCCGGCAATGCGGACCAAGCTCTGACACCGGTCATACAAAGACCTAACAGACCATATCAGAGGGCTTGGTACCCCATACTCCCGGAGTACCCCCCACAGGGCCCCCCGAGGCACGCGGTCAAATGCCTTCTCCAAATCCACGAAACACATGTAGACTGGTTGGGCAAAACCCCACGCACCCTCCAGGATCCCCCTAAGGGTATAGAGCTGGTCCAGTGTTCCACGGCCAGGACGAAAACCACATTGCTCCTCCTGAATCTGAGGTTCAACAATCTGATGGACCCTCCTCTCCAGAACCCCTGAATAGACCTTACCAGGAAGGCTCAGGAGAGTGATCCCCCTGTAGTTGGAACACACCCTGCGGCCCCCCTTTTTAAATAAGGGGACCGCCACCCCCGTCTGCCAGTCCAGTGGGACTGCCCCCCGCTGTCCACGCGATATTGCAGAGCCACGTCAGCCAACACAGCCCCACAACATCCAGAGCCTTAAGGAACTCCGGGCGGATCTCATCCACCCCCAGAGCCTTGTCACAGAGGAGCTATTTAACCACCTCAATGACCTCAGCACCAGAGATTCGATAGGCCAACTCAAAGTCCCCAGACTCTGCTTCCTCACTGGAAGATGTGTTGGTGGGATTGAGGAGGTCTTCAAAGTATTCTGCCCACCAATCCACAACATCCTGAGTAGAGGTCAGCAGCACACCGTCCCCACTATAGATAGTGTTGGTAGTGCACTGCTTCCCCCCCTGAGGTGCCGGATGGTGGACCAGAATCTCCTCGAAGCCGTATGGAAGTCTTGCTCCATGGTCTCACCGAACTCCTTCCATGCCCGTGTTTTTGCCTTGGCGACCACCTGAGCTGCGTTCCGCGTGGACTGCCGGTACCCGTCAGCTGCCTCTGGAGTCCCACAGGCCAAAAAGACCTGATAGGACTCTTTCTTCAGCTTGACAGCATCCCTAACCCACCGGTGTCCACCAGCGGGTTCGGGGGTTGCCACCACGACAGGTACTGACAATCCTGCGACCACAGCTCTGGTCGGCCACCTCAACAATGGAGGCACGGAACCGGGTCCATTCAGACTCACTGTCCCCCGCCTCCCCCGGAACATTTTGGAAGTTCTGTCGGAGGTGGGAATTGAAGCTCCTTCTGACAGGAGACTGTGCCAGACTTTCCCAGCAGACCCTCGCGATACGTTTGGGCCTGCCTGGTCTGACCGGCATCCTCCTCCACCATCTGAGCCAACTCACCACCAGGTAGTGGTCATTTGACAGCTCCGCCCCCTCCTCACCCGAGGTCTGCCGCAGGTCAGACGTAACAACAACAAAGTCAATCATCGAGCTGCGGCCTAAGGTATCCTGGTGCCAAGAGAACATATGGACACCTTTATGTCTGAACATGGTATTCATTATGGACAATCCATGGCTGGCGCAGAAGTCCAATAACAAAACAGCACTCGAATTCAGATCGGGGGGCCGTTCCTCCCAACCACCTCTCCACGTTTCATTGTCGTTGCCCACGTTAGCGTTAAAGTCCCCCAGCAGAACGAGGGAGTCACCGGAAGGAGCGCTTTCCAGCACCCCCTCCAAAGTCTCCAAAAAGGGTGGGTAGTCTGAACTGTAGTTTGGTGCATAAGCACAGACCACAGTCAGAACCTGTCCCCCCACACGTAGGCGGAGGGAGGCTACCCTCTCATTCACTGGGGTAAACCCCAACGTACAGACACCAAGATGGGGGGCAACTAGTATGTCCACCCCTGCTCGGCGCCTCTCAGTGGGAGCAACTCCAGAGTGGTAGAAAGTCCAACCCCTCTCAAGGAAACTGGTTCCAGAGCCAGAGCCATGCGTTGAGGTGAGTCCGACTATATCTAGTCGGAGCCTCCCAGCCTCACACACCAACTCAGGCTCCTTCCCCACCAGAGAGGTGACATTCCATGTGCCAAGAGCCAGCTTCTGTAGCCGAGGATCAGACCGCCAAGCTCGACTACCACCCACACACTGCACCCGACCCCTTTGGCCCCTCCCACGAGTGATGAGCCCATGGGAAGGGGAACCCATGTTTCCTCTTCGGGCTGTGCCCGGCCGGGCTCCATGGGTGAAAGCCTGGCCACCAGGCGCTCGCCAACGTGCCCCACCTTCAGACCTGGCTCCAGAGGGGGGCCCCGGTGACCCATGACCGGGCGAGGGAACACGGTCTCCATTTATATATTTCATCATAAGAGGTCTTCGGGCTGCTCTTTGTCTGATCCCTCACCTAGGACCTGTTTGCCATGGGTGACCCTACCAGAGGCAGAAAGCCTCGGACAACTTAGCTCCTAGGATCATTGAGACACTCAAACCCCTCCACCATGGTAAGGTGGCAGCCCAGGGAGATGCATAACATCAAGTTCTTCATAATTATTCAGCGTATGTTTGTATTTATTTGTAACTTCATTATGGCTCTTCGTTTTGTCTGAAGTCTCTTTTTGACTCATCAGAACAGAAATTCTGGATTTTCCTAAAGATATTTTTATGCCTTTGTTTTTCATATTAAATTTTTATTTTAAAAGCCCAAAATAGTTTTAATTGTTTCTAAAAACTAAATGAGTTCATTACAGCAGAACTGTTCAATCTAAACTAAGAAGAACAAAATCATGGATTTCTGTTCCTGTTAATTTTATGATCAAGTGTTTTATCATACTTCCTGCCTCTGGAAGGCTTGTTACACAGTGATCTGTTGTCAGCAGCAACAGGCGGATTATCTCAACCTCCTTCAACAAACAAACGCGCACACGCACACACACACACACACACACACACACACACACACACACACACACGCACACGCACACGCACACACACACACACACACACACACACACACACACACACACACACACACACACACACCAGCAGAGATGTGGAATGGTCCGATGTCCTCATGAGGAGGAGATGGAGCATTTCATTGTCAAAGACAAATGTAACATTCATATTTTAGACACTTAACAGCATAATGAATATCTTTAAACATCTTTGGTGCGTTCTTGCTGTGTTGAAATTCTAATTCCATCTTTTAGTTCTTTTTAAAACACAGAAAGGTTTTATTTACCTGCAACGATTCGTTTGCAGCTGTAAACTTTGTCAGGCTGATGCTGATGGTGGCGTCACTTCCTTCTCCGTTTATAAACGGATAAACGGCGAAGGAAGTGACGCCACCATCAGCCTGACGACGTTTGCAGCCGCAAACGAAACGTTGCAGGTAAATAAAACCTTTCTGTGTTTTAAAAATAACTAAAAGATGGAATTAGCATAATGAATAACTGATAGTTTAATATTTGCCATTTTATCTAATATTTAACCTGATGTACATGTTTACATGTGTACATGTATTATGATGTAAACATAAATCCATACAATTGTTGTGCTCCATGAAACTTCTGTGCTCATAAACATGGAAATGCTGGTCTCAGCCCAGCTCTAAAGAATTTTTAATTTAAAGAAATAACTTTTCTCTTCTTCCTCACTCCTTCTCTGTTCTGACCTTTCTCCCAGCATCACTCCAGTCACATGCTATGCTAACAACAGCATACACAACACATGTAAAGTTTAGCCTCCATTTGTCTTTTTTATCACATCAACTGCTAACATTTGAATGTTTTACTGCTAATATTAACTTTACTGTCCCCTCCCCCCACAGGTGCCCTTTCTTATTTGAGGCCTGAGATCACCTGATCAGCTGCTCTGCACATGGGTGTGTGTGTGTGTGTGTGTGTGTGTGTGTGTGTGTGTGTGTGTGTGTGTGTGTGTGTGTGTGTGTGTGTGTGTGTGTGTGTGTGTGTGTGTGTGTGTGTACAGTTACAGGACCAAACTCTACCGTATACCAAGACATGACTGCAGATGTTATGGTTTAAGTTATGACTGACAGAGTAAAATTAAAGGGATGAACAAAGGAACAGCGGAGCAGGAAGCTGTCGGCAGGCTGTGAACTTTTCAGTGCCTGCGTTTTGATGATCTGCAGAAGCTCCGGCGCTTATCGAGGCTGGCTGAGTGGACTTGTGAGGGCCTTCTGTCCCCCAACGAGGACTTCTCCACAGATAACCACAGATGGCGTTTGTGTCCATGACGTCTCTGAGGGGACGGCAAACCCAAATATCACAGACTGCCTTCGAGTCAGCGCTTCAAGGGAACCATGTCTGAGTGCTGCGCTTAAACTCTTATATCTTAAACTGATCCCTGATTGGAGGGACAGAAAAGGGCTTTGTTCATTTTCATATTTCCGATCGGAGAGGAATTCCAGAGAGGAAGGAAAACAAACAGGATCCAAGCGACTTGTGGGATTTTACTGTATCAGACACACTAATGTAGACCCCAGCTGTAAGGCAGGGAGGGTCCTCCCCCTCTGTCCCCCCACCCCTTCCCGTCCCTCTCTCTCATTGATGTTTTTGAACGGTGAGCCAAAGATCCCTGGCCTTTTGTAGTTTCCTCGAGCGACTCGGAGGAGGTCAAAGGGCAACCTGACGGAAAGTGACAGATGAGAAAGAAGAAGTGGAGGGCGTCGGACGAGTGGCTTTAAAGAAGACTGTTTAGGGTGGGGAGTGGGGGGGGGGGGGGGCAGGGGAGGACAAGCAAGATCGATCACAGTGTAAAAGAAAACCTTTACAGATCATGGTGAGAAAAGGCTGATGGGTCACAAGTCACGACTGAGAGACACTTGAGAAACGGACTGAAGGCAGCCATTCACCCAGCTGACCTGACATGCAATATCACGTGTCTCTCACTTTTAAAAGGTCTTAAATCCTTAAAAATGCTTCAGGTTTACACTCCGGATCAAATATAGAAATAACACGTGTCTTCTGAGGCAGTTGAATTCAAAACATACATCTGATATTTGACTTAGGATTAACTAAATCAGGAAAGTAAAAGCCACAGTTGTTTATGACTCTGTGTTGGCTGGGACCGTGTTTGTTTACTGCCACAGCAGCAGGAACGGATGGATGGGTGTTCTGCAGTTATATTAACCGTCACCGTGCTCTTAGGGCCACTCAGGGGAAAAAAACCAGGAAGTGTTGAGAATTAAGGTGATCCTGTGGTGATCTTTGTTTTTGTAGAGGATCGTGTTTATATCGGCTAAAATACAAAACAACAACATGAGGAGTGTGGTCTTTACTCCTGCAGCAGCATCTCAAAGAACTTCCTTTAATCCTACAAAATAAGAGTCTAAAACAAACACCAGCCCCTTAAACCTTCCTAAAACATCCAAAGTTTATGAATATAATTTATTATTGATGTGAAACCTTTGCTGCAGCCTAAACCTGCTGGAGCTCTGAGAGCTAAAGAAATGTCCTTTTTGTTTAAACTCATTCTGAAGAGCAGAGCCGACGTAGTTCATTTACACCAGACATTGTGGCTGCTGGTTTAGTTTATAAATCCAGTCTCACTTTATTCCACAAATATTTTGACACATTTGCCAAAATTTTTCTTAAAGTCCAGGTTTTAATCTCTGCAGAGCAGCCCCTGATATTCGGTCCCATTTTCCCCTGAGTGGCCCTAATACGCCACCGTAATGTTCCACGTGCTACGGCTGAGTGACGGCAACAGAAACACCCAAGGAGCTCCTGTTGAACTCTTTTCTCTCCACAGACTGAAACAATGCATTCATTCCCTGTCTATATTTTTGTATGATTTGACAAAGTGATGTGACGTCATGTCATGTGTATATCATTATCGTTGCTATTTATAATAAAGTAAAACGTTTGACATAGTTGCTCCGTTTGGTTGTTCGTCCATTGATAATTGCTAAGTGAGGTCTTTGTGGTTATTTTTGCTGTGAGTTGAGAAGGAAAAAGCAGAAGGGCTGTGATTCAGTCTGAAGAAGAACACTTCAGAGACAAATGTGTACTTTTTGAAGGGGCTCATGTGAACCCTCCAACCAAAAGGCTGCGCCAAACAGAGATCACCAGACATTAGATTTGACAGCAAACACAACGAGCCTTCTCACTGTTTGCCGTAAACACTCAGACATCTGCACGGGTGTGTATTCATGCCCCTGCTGGCCCTCCACCCTCTGTAACAAACTGACTTTTGTTGAACAACCTCTTAGATGAAGAGAACGAGCCTTAAAGCGCTTTGCACAAACAGCACACGCAGCCCTTCCAAAGCTCTCCACAGGCCGCCTCTGTGTGTGTGTGTGTGTGTGTGTGTGTGCACCACGTGTATTCATACATTATGTCCTTATAGTGTTGTTTCTATGTGTGGATGTGTTCATGCAGCCCGGGGCTGTTAGGCCTAATTATAACACTCTTCTGATTAATCGTGCGGCGCTGTGTGCAGCTGGACTACACACTCTATAAATAAAGTCAATAACAACGTCGAGGATCACTCATAGTGTTGTCAGCTCTGTTTGCTAAGCCCAAACACACACACACACACACACACACACACACACACACACACACACACACACACACACACACACACACACACACACACACACACACACACACACTGTTTGCTTTCTTAATCAGGCTGTACCGTTAACGATGAAGACAAATCACACCTGCAGAGTTCCTAAACTCAGACTTTAGTTTAATTGAAAAGCCTGAAAAGACGTATTATTTCCTTTAGTTCACCCTCCAGTGAAGCTATAAGGAGCCACTTTAATGACAAACTGCCAGATGATGATAAATATTTTGAACATATCCTATTTCCCCTTAATTAGAATTAATTTACACATGCATGCGTGTGTGTGCACACACACACTCTTGTCACCCTGTTTCCACTTGGGTGGTTGCATGTCTACTTCAAGCCTCCAGAAGGGTTCTTCTCTGTGTCTTTGCTGTTCCTAGACCTGTCCTACTCCAGACAGGGATCTCTGGTGTGTTGAAGCCACTCTCCCAGTTGGAGTGATAGCACTACTGAAGTCTGCACTTTCTCTTTCTTTCAGCCTTGTGTGTTTCTCTAGCTTTTTTCTTCCCTCCATCATACTGTGAATACTATCGCTGACTTCTTAGTTCTGTAGCTGGCAGGGTGGTGCAGTGGTATGCCACCTAACTTTGGAACCATGTGTCAGGGGTCAAACCCCATTTCAAGCACTATCCCAGCCATTCTGGAGTACAATGGGCCATGATACCTGCTTCATCTGACAAGGTCCATGTCACATGTTGGGTAACCAGAACATTTTGATAAGACGTGGCCCTCTGGGACGAGACACCCGTGTAGAGGACTTGACACTGCATGAGAAAGCCCAATACTCAGGGTTTTATGGTATGTGTAATATGGAAACGTGATCCAGTGCCCCACCAAGAAGACCCTGCCAGAGTGTGGCAACTTCAAGCTGGTGTTCTAAAAAACCTCTTGTGCCATCTCTGAAATCAAAACCAACCTCCGATAAAAGAATGTCCAAGAAAGGCTGGAAAAAGTGTGCCTCAAGAGGACGACACCACAGGAAGACCATCTCCTCTCCCTGTTAGGAAACAGCTGCAGACCTCTACAGGAGCGCTAGTCTTCTGTGTAAATCTCTTTCAAATATTCAGACCTGTTTCAAACATGCCTTTCATTGCAAATTAGTTTTTGAAAATTCTGGAAGGAGTTGTAAGCAGTTATGTGCATGTTGCACTTACACAGAAATAATCTGCTGGAAAGTCTCTGATTTAGAGCTCATCATGGCAAAGAAAGAGCTTTGGTGAATGTTAGTCAGAATATTTTGAGGCTACTGAATAGAAATGAGTGGATGCATGTAGAATGTCTACCGGAGGATATGCAAATCACAAAAATAGCAAAAATGAAGGAATGCAAAAGAGGTTATTTACTGGTTCTGCTGGGAGCAGTGGTGGTTGTAAATCCTAACAGCTGAGACAAGGAAGGACCTATAATGTCGTTGCTTCATGCAGCTAGGATGCAGCAGTCTGCCACTGAAGGAGCTCTCCAGCTCCACAACAGCTTTGTTTGGGGTGAGATGTTGTCTTAACAGTGATGTTATTTTTGCTAGAGTCCTTCTACATCTCACCTCCTGCACTGGATCAAGGGGAAATGCTAGAACAAAGCTGGCCTTCTTGAAGCGTTCATCTAATCTCTGTCTCTAAGCTGCAGATAAACTGCTGCTCCAACAAACCACAGCATAAAGGTGAAACAGGAAAAACTACAATATGGTTCAAAAGTCCATTTATATCAGTAATCCAGCTCAAGGATCAAGGATTCTTTATTGACATTCACATCACCTGTTCACATGGGGTGGAACGAAATTACGTGCACACGGTCCTGGAACAAAGAGAGGGAAAAATACAAAGGCGTCAAAATATGACGAGTGTGACCAAGCGTCAATATATGACGATTCGGGACGCCCCAGCGCGTCAGGTAACAACAATCAGGGTCAAACTGCTGACGCAGCGTCCCACAGCGTCGGTATCTGACGTCGGTGGTGAGACGGACATTAGAACTACTTGTGAACTACTTGACCTTCCCCTCACCCCAATCCTAACCTGAAGTCACAGTTTATGGACCTTAAGGTTAGGATTGGGGTGAGGGGAAGGCTAAATAGTCAAACGATGTCTGTGTGGCCGCGCGTGTCAAACAGTGACGCCAGCGGAGCTACATGACCCAGCGTGTCCCTCATCGTCGTCTCCTGACGCGCTGGGGTGTCCCGAATCGTCACATATTGACGCTTGGTCACACGCGTCATGTTTTGACGCCTTGGGTGTGAGAATGTGTTGAGAATAAATAGAATGCAGCTTCCTGAGAACCGGCATGGAGTATGGATATAAAGATATAAACACTTTAGCAGTGAAAAGGCATGGTGACCAGCAATGAAACAAAGACCTTGTCAGTAGATAAGTGTCTTCCGCTGTCTGTAGTTTTCAGTGATGGTTACAGTGCTACAATAACACTTCTTGTCCCAGTTTAGATTAAGAATTCTCACAACTTCTGGAAAGAAGCTGTTCCTCAGTCCAGTGGTTTTGATTTAATGCTGGATGAGTTGTGCCCTTCATGATACAGGCGGCCCTTTTCCTGCATCTGAAGGCTTATATGTCTGAGATGGTTGGGAGGCTACCTTCGACAACCGTCACCACCCTCTGTAGGGCTTTCCTCTCTTCCGTGAGTGGACCTCTGATGTGTCTTAAGGTCGTAGGCACCCTCAGAATACGCACGACTGGTCAAAAAGATACCCCCAGGTGGCTTCTGGCGGACGATTTCACGTCTGATGAGTTAGTTGGTGGTGGACTGAGCAAACAATAATTGATTGATTTAAAAAGGATGGTTCTTTAAGCCGCTAAAACTATTCCACTGAAAGATCTGGTTGATTTCCCAGAGGATGGTCATTTAACATAAGCTGGAGCTTGTCTGGAACCCAGAGATTTGGCTGAACTGGGGAATATAGGAAGTGAAATCACTTTTAAGTCAAAGTCAAAGTCATTTTATTGTCATTTCTACCACATGTGCAGGACATACAGAGAAACGAAATTGAGTTTCAGTGCACACAATTCAGAGATCAGACATACATGGATAAGACACATGACAAGAATTGGTGACTGCGGTCATTCGCAACATGAGTCGCGCTACCTTAATAGATAGATGAAAAGGGTGTTACATGAGGATAATTGGGGG